CTTCATATTCTCGTCGAGCTTGTTTTTTAGACGGCTCCGTCTGCGTCAAAATATTTTCTGTTTCAAAAGAAATAGATTCTGTAGTTGTTAAACTATCAATAGGTATATAATCTGGTTTAGCCTTTTCAGTACTGAAATCTTGCTTATCAAATTTAGACATTGATTCATTAGAAACAGTTTCTTCAGTTACCGCACTTATATAGGGAACAACCGTAGATTTTCCTTCAACACCTTCTAGTAGTTGTGTTGCAGGTAAGAAGTGTTCTTTGTCATCTGTAGTAACTTCCGTTATATTAAGGCTTACAGCTTCAGATATTTCTACGTTTGCCTGTTTTTTATCTGGTATGATTTCTTCAAGTTTATCTGCTTCTTTCTCGCCAGCAGTAATTTCCATTTGCACTATAGAAAGTGACACATCTTGACTTGTAGTTGCAGTGCGCGCATCGGGAGTTTTATGTTCTAAATCTGTTGGCACGGTCTCAGCCAAAACTTGTTCATTAATGGCTACATTTTGTTCGTCAATGCTAATATGAGCAGATGATTTTTCAGTTTCAGGAACTTTTAGGTTTTCTTCTCTTTGGTCTACTTCTATTTCCGTAATAGATATTGCCTGATCTGGCAAAATCTCTACATTTGCTTGCTTTTTATATGGTAGCATTTCCTTAGGAAGTAGTTTTTCGACATCAGTGACATTCGTTTCCGTTACTATGAGCTCATCAAAAGGCTTAGTATATTTCTTTGCGCGTCCAGTAGGTAGTTCCTGTTCCTCAATGAAATCTGCATGAACCACGCTTTCGATTTCTGATGTAATAATTACCTCTTGCGTTGTTAACGCTTGTGACGCCAAAACTTGTAGAGGTTTGGGTTGCGTTTCATAAGTTTCTTCTTTTTCATTTAGCAACACTTGTGAAATGTTTGCTCCTGATAGAAATTCAGTTAAATTTACAACTACATTTTTACCTTCTGGTTTTGTTTCAACATAGTCTTTTTCCTTTTCCGCCGTTTGATGCTCGATTATTTCCAAAGTGTTTAAAGTTTCTTGTTCTGAAACGGCTGTCATTTTTTCTGGATGCTCTAGTTTTAAAACATTTGTATTTTCATGAGTTTCCGTTAGAATGTTACTAGCTACCTGTCTAGTCGAAATATCAGATGTGGCTTGTACACCTTCAGGTGCTTCATCACTAACATATGGTTTTTCTTTATCGTCTGTATGAACTTCTAATATATTAATCGCTGTATTCGGTAACAGAGATTGGGTAGCCTGTTTAGATTCAGTTGCGGAATCTTTAATATTTTCTATATTTTCAGAAGCAACTGCTTCAGATGTGACTACTTCACTATGTACCGATTGTTGAACATTTGCTTTTCCTTCATCTTTTTCAGTTAATTTGAGGCGATCGACACTGTGTTCTATCATTGTTTCTTCGGTAACTCCTAAAGGAAGTAAATTTGAAGAAACATGTTTTATTTTTTTCGAGTCTGGTAGTACAAATTTGGTAAGCTCCTGTTCCATTTCAAGAATCTGAGATTCAGTTACCGAAACTTCTTCTAACGGTCTAGTTAAAGAACTTTCTACATTATAACTTTCTTTCTGTTGTCCTTCATAATTTGTTTCTGATTCATTTGCATGCGTTTCTGTAATATTAGTTGCTTCTTGAGTTTCAATGTCTACAGAGGCTACATCTGTTTTAAATGTGGGTTGTGATTTAAAATCGTCTGGTAATTCGCTGGTTTCGATTTCTTCTATGGTTATTGGTTCATTGGGAGATACGGATATTTCTGGAAGAATTTGTGTAGGTTGTGAAAAGTCTGGCAATTCTTTTTCTGATTCATGAGCAGTAGTTATTGTTTGACTACTGCTTTCTATAAAAGTATACGAAGATTCCGCGCTCTTGTAATCAAGCTGTTGCTGTTCATATTGATTTTCTTTTTCGTTAGAGAATGTTGTTTGGGATACTAATGGTTCTAAGGGTGACCAATCAACAGTACTTTGTTGAAGATTTAGTGGTTCCGAAGAAATTTCATTTTGAGGTTGTTGAGTTTCAACTGCGCTCACGCTTATACCTTCTGATAGAATAATATTTTCAACAGCTTGTGCACTTTCAGTAGGGGCCTGTTTTTCAAACAAATTTTCTTTTTCTGATGTTTCAGTTTGAGAAACGATTACTCCTTCGTCCGTTGTAATATTGAAGTTGGCTGTTTGTGATGGCGGCAATCTACCTGGTACGTATTCGCCCTCTAGTTCTGGAGCAACTGTTTGAGTTTGTAAAAGAGATTTCTGGGGAATAATACTTTTAGAAGCAATTTCGGTAGCTACGAAAGCCTCCGGAAGATATTTACCGGGTTTATCTTCTGCTAGAACTTCCTCGACAGTTAATGGTTCTCGAGCTTCTATATTATATTTAGGTTTTACTGTATTTGGTTTGGTTAATTTTAAATCTTCCTCCGCCATAGCTTGCTGAACTTCCTCTACATTGATACCTTCTTTCGTTGAAAACGCTGGTTGTGCATAAACTTCTGTAGGTTTGGAAAATGCATCAAGTTCAGTTTCATTTTGTGAAACGTAAACGTCCGAAATATATTTGGCTTCTTGAGGAATTACCGTAATGTTTGCTGATTCATTTAGTAGTTCTGTTTTTTGTAGATCTTTAGAAATGTCTCCTAGGTTGTACTCCCGAATGATAAGACCTTCGTTGGAGACAAATTCCGTTGAAGCCGTAGATAAGCTTGGTTTAGGTTGAGATGCATATTCACCAGTTGAACTTTGAACCGTTGTTTCTGTAATTTCAAAAGCTTCTATTGTATCGATAGATTTATTAGCTAACGAAGTAGTAGGTTCAAATTTGCTGCCCATTTTTTCTTGTTCTTGGGCATAAACTGTTTCCCCTACTACTGCAGCATGTGGTAATAAGTCTACAGTAGCTTTTCCTTCTTGCACATCTTCATTCATTTGAGAAACTTCACTTATTGATGTAGCTTCGGAGTAGACAGCTGACGTATTTATTTGTAGAGGTTTAACGTTTTCCACTGTGGCAGGAATAAATTCTTTTTCTTTTAGAGAAACTTCAGTTTCTGAAATTGTTTTCGCTTCTTGTGGAAGAATAGATAAAATTGCTTTGCCGTCTTGTGGAATAGAATCCTCGTACTTAGTGGATGTATCACCTAAAGTAATTTGTTCAACTTGTATGCTTTCATGTGGTTGCAAAACTTCATGGGCACTTGAGCTATCTGGTTTGAAGGATTCATCAAATTGACCTGGAACAATATGAATGCTTTGTTCTGAAATTTGAATAGCTTCAACATTATCAATTTGTCTATTAGCATTTGCAGATAGACTTGGTATTCCTTCATAATCTTTTTCGGTTTCATTAGCATGTACCTCTTTTTCTATTATCGCAGTATGTGACAAAATTTCAATATCGGCTTTTACGTTATCTACAGATTCATTTATATGTGTTATTGATCCAGTTGTAAATGCTTCTTGAACGATTCTCGAAGAATTTAATGGTAATTGCTTTTGAGAAGGCGTTTCTGTTGTTTCCAATAATTCTATATCTTCTTCATCTATTTCGTATTCATTATCTCGGGGTTTGTACAGTTTAATCTTCTTTTTAATATCACGAGTTTGGTCTAAAATCTCTTCTATTTCAACTTCTGTTTCGTCTTCTTGTTCTTTATCTTTGACTATTACACCTTTTTCTGTTTCAACAATTTCTTTAATTTCTACTTCTTTTTTACCGTCTTTTTTCTTTTCGCGCCTAATTTTAGTGACTTTTTTAATTGTTGCTCGATTTTCCTCAACATTTTCTACAGACTCTTCCTTCTTTTCTTCTGTAGGTTTTTTGTCCACCTCCAGTTCCGTAATTTCAGTGATTTCGACGGAATGCTTTTTCTTGGGTTGAACGTCTCCTTTTATTTGTTTCTCTGTGTCTTCCTGGACTTCAACGGTTTCTGTGAAAGTGTATGTATGATAGTTTGATGTGTTGTATAACTTATTTATTTAGTATAATGTGCGTAGAAGGCTAAGCATAAGCTCAAGCCTAAATAATAGTTGTGGCGAAAAGTAGGTATGAGCTATATTAATGAATTGCGAGTAAGAGTTTTGAGTCGGTGAGAATATGTTAGATATAAGAACACTCACCTTAGCTGAGGCCGTTAACACTATTAAGCCATGCTCACTATTCTACACTGTTTCCTAAGTATGCTCTGCGGAAGCTTCAAGTATATATTTTCACTATTTATTTGCTTGCAAAAAATATAATAAAGGCTTACTAGTAATTAATTATCTAATGCTTTTAATGCGTGCTGTATTTTTATATTTCAGATATTACAAGGTGTCCCAATTACATGAAATATTGTTCTACAACTGTACAAAACACTTTACATATGAAAGTACAAGATTATCAGAATAATATGATGTTAAAAAATTAAAAGAAGTGTTCGACTGTTTATAACTATTAAAATTTTAGTTGCAGTTGTACAGGGAGGTGTAAAGATATGAAAATTATATCATGTGACATAAAGAATACTTTCGTCATACTGATATGAAATTTTAAAATTTGTATATGTAGATATCATAGCATTGTACTTTTAAAATTTGCTTGGTCTTTTTTTATAAAAAAATCGGTTAATTTGTCTACAAATTTTTAATATTGAATTGATGATCTTAAACATTTTTGGGTACAATACTGTTACTATCCCCACTGTTACTTTGAAATAAGCTCCATCCTGTGGTGTTATTTATTTAGTACGATGGTAAACCAGTATGACATCTCCATCCTTTCCCACTTCCCTGCAGTTGTAGAACCATGTACGTGAGGTACCGCGTATATAAAAAGGAGATAAAAGATATTCTTAAAATATATTGTAAATTCATTCCAATACATTTCCATTCAAAAGCGGTATTTTTCGCACTAGTTGTACTTACAAACATACTAGTACGTTTTTTCATTTAAAAATAAACATTAATATGCATACAACAAATATTTAAGTAATCTTACCTTCAATATCATCCTTCTTTTTCACTTGTTTCTTAATAATTTTTCCCGAATCTGCAAAATCAAATTTTTTATGTATTATTTATTATATTTTTTATAATCACTTTCGTTCCAAATTAGGCCCATTAGTGAAAATAAATATATACGTAGCTGAAGTTACAAAATATAGACTAGAATTAAGATATATAATGCTTATCATTCTATATTATACTATTTATAATAGAGCTTCCTGAACTCTCCATTATAATTCAATTTTTTTTTTAAGAATTAATAGGTTTCATCTTCATACCCTTATAGAGCATGATTTGATATCGCTTTTTATTTTAGATTTTTAATTTTTTTGTTGTTGTAAATTTCAATCCTCCTTAAGCCCCCATTTTTTTTACCAATTAGCCTGACATTGTTTTCCATGAAGACATTGGAAAGTCTGTGCGAAAGGTATATAAAGGATGTGGTGATTACAACAACACCTCTTCACCCAAATCAACATGCATACATCCCAGGCAGATCGACTGATTCAACCCTTCACCTAGTTTCTGCCCAGCTAGATAGATCCCTGGACAATAATCAGCCTTGGTGTTTTCATAGACATAGAAGGTACTTTTGATAAGACTACCTTTCACATGAATGTTCCACAGATGGTTAGTGAATAAATACAGAACATGCTCTCAAAGCCAGCAGTAAACAATTGTAAAAGATGTGAATATAATAGGCTTGGTTTCGGGGGAATGTTCACAAGGAGGGGTGGAACATGATCCTCAACATCCTCTCCAGCCGCGTCAATAATGATTGTCACTACACAATAGCATATGCAGTTGACCTAGTCATTTTGCAAATAGATAATTTTAAAAACATACTCTACGAATGCAAGTAGCACTCAAAATTATAGAATAATAGTGCAAGGACCATTCACTGTGTATTAATCCCAAGAAGACAGAAATGGTTCTTTTCACAAGCAAACCTACACAGCTCCAAAAAACAAAACTAAACTTTGCATAAGAAGTGAAGTACCTAGGTCTAACCTTTGAGAGCAAGTTAACATGGAACACACACCTAGAAAACAGAATAAAAAAAAGCATACATTCCTTATGAACAATGACGTCGAACCCTGAGGCCCACATGGACTGACACGGCCATCATAAGATCTATACCAACCCAAAAATTGTCAGCTATCCGTAAATTTAAACAAATTCAAAGAAATTGATGCTGTTTTCAAGGATTTAAAACCTCGATTCCCTTCGAGAAAACCACTACTGAATAAGGAATGCAGATATCAACTAAAGTAGTCAACACGAATTAAGGACCAATTTTAAAAATGCCTTTAAAATTTATATTATTAATAATGAATAAAATCTATGGCGTTTAGGACCAAAGAAATGACTGGCGATTCTAAAACTTCGATATAGTGTTCCTGAAGATGTTGAGATACCAGTCATGCGTTGTGAGGTCTCGCATTGTCGTGTTGAAGGACAAAGTCTGGACCTTTCTCTGCAGCAAATAGAATGATCAGGATTCTACAATGTTCTAAGTATCTGCGTTCATTAACAATTCTATTTCGAAACACATGCAAGTTGGTGCATCCTGTTAGAGAAATTCCTCCCCAGACCATTATGGAACCCCCTCCGAAATAGACAGCTCACCTCCATGTTCGTACACATGCACCATCGTGGCTAAGTCGATATTTTGACACATCTGGGAAACGAACGTGTCCCCATTTGTACATGGTCCAATCAATATGATTTCTGGCAAAATTCAACAGCGCTTTTACGGCCTGAGTGGATATTCGCCTTCCCGTAGCGGCTAAATGAATATTAGATTTTTTTGCTGGTGGGGGCTGAATTTTGAAGTGCTGACCTTACCAAATTGCAGTCTTGTGTTGTTATCTTATCTCTGGCAGGATAAGGTCTTTTTATAACTTTACCAAATTTCCTATGTCGGTTAAGAAGCCTACAAATTAGTCTTCGGACAATACTTCTAACAAAGAAGTTACTTCCACCACTTCATCTTGCCTTAAAGGTGTCCTTTGGACAATATCCCTTCCCATAACATCAAAATTCTTCATCATATTATGAAATCAAGCAATGTGCAATACCGGACACTATAATATATTATTTTCTAAAATAATATGCCTTTGGAACTTTATAAAAACTTATAAACAAAAACATTTCTTTTTACATTAAGAGCAAACCGGACCTCTCGCAAAAATGTTTTAAGGATTGTCTAATATAAAATTGTTTTTATATGCACGCCACTGGGAATACTTCGCGATAGTGTGTGCCTCGAGAATATTGAGAGCTTTAAATTTGTGCAACGATAAAGGCAGCACTCTACAGAGACGTTTAAGAAGAAAAGGTGGAAAATCCTCCTATTTAAAAACTACTAGATATTTAAAACAATTTTTATACACTGTAGAATGGCGTGTAAATGTTTTATTAAATTCCTTTTAAAAATTTCAAAATAAATACTTTTCGAAGGTTTATAAAACTTCAAGGTTTCTCCACCCTAAGTTTTGTTATTGGTATTACCTGAAAATTCCACAAGATTTGTTCTATAAATAAATTATAAATTTTCAAGGTGTCCGGTTTGCACCTAATGATAAGGTACAAATAAATAACATTATATGGGGACTGCTTAAAAAATTTAAATAAATGCAACGATTTTAAAAAGTGGCCTTTAATTCGTTTAAACTAGTTTAAATAGTATCCTACCAAACACAAGCATTGTAGTCATAGTAAATTCTTATGTTATTACCCTCAATTATTATAAACTAAATTATTCATATAAAATTGAATTAACTAACCTTCTAATATTTCGATTTCTTGTGTAAATGTAGCGGTCTCTGATATTGTTTTCGAAGTAACCTGAGAAACATATATTTTATTAAAAATAAGATATGGACAATGTGAATAAAAAAAGTAGTATATATCTATATAATAAGGGTGTTTCAAAAAAAAAAAAAAGAAAAAAAGTGGCATTGTTGCTAGATTTATCAAGAGCACTGAAAAATAATTGCAGTCAAAAATTGTTGTAACGGCATCCGTATTCGAGATACAGGAGGTGAGTTCGGGATAGCCTGGGGCTGGACCGGGACATGAGAGTTTATAAGGGTGCCTTTAAATGATATTCAAGCGTGTTGAACTGTCACTAATAGAAATAAACCGAGAGCTAATTGGGTTTGGAATTAAAATAGTTAAAAGAGAGAATGAAACTAGTCCGTCCGATCTTACCTAGAGTGTTAAAAAAAAATATTCTCATTTTTGACAATTACATCGAAACTACTTGCAAAATTGTAATTACATTTAGTATGAACATGTTTTTGAAGCTGGAAAATTCCATGAATATATTTTTATATCTGGCTCTCAGAGGGCGCTAATTAGTAGAGTTTTTCGTTTTGTGCCGACAACAAAATATTTTGCTTCTAGACGTCTATGTAGAGAAATTTCTACACTTACACCGAAGGAAGCAAAACCGGACGACAAAAATGCTTGCAAAGGGATTTTTTTTATTGTTATAGACGTCTAGAAGCAAATTATTTCATTTCCAGCAAAACACGAAAAACCGAAGCGATGTGAAACATTATTTTGAATTTTACAGGTTACCCGACAGCTCCCACCACCAGGACATAGTAAATGTTATTCACCTCCTTCCCATGTACCTAACTACAAATAACAAGCAGAAAACACGACATGCCACAGATGAGGGTCTATAGTTTGTAATTTCTCACAAATGGTAAACATTGTTGAATTTAATGAAGAGTGTATTTTTGGTATAAAATTGAATGATGTTTAAGTTTGTTAAAATTTTGATAAAAAATCTTAACCACAAAAAATACGTGTAGCTCATTCTATAAAAGCTAGAAATAAAAGTATATTCAAGGGATGTGTCAGCTTCAGAAGCATATTCATACTAAATTTAATTTTTTTTCAACACCCTGTATCTCGAATACGGATGCCGTTACAATTTCTTACTAACCTTACCCCACTTATGTTTCAGTACTCTACCTAATCTAGCAACGGGGCAACCTTTTTTAACTAAAAGCATATTTTCTTTGAAAAATTACCTCTGTTACTTCAGCTGTTTCCCATAACCGTTGCAAGAAATCTTGAGGCGTAAAACTAGTGATGACTTCTTCAATAGTAACGTAATTTGCTTCAATCATCTTCATAAAAGCCCTAAATCCGACTGTGGCTGCAAGTTTGCTCTCATCCACAGTACTTTCTTCTGTCAACACTTCAGATACCAGAGGTCCATATCCTTTTCTTTCAACTACGTTAACCATAGCCGATTGAGCTTGAGGTGATTTTAACGAAGGAAATCTGTCTTCTTCGTAAAGAACTGTCACTTCTTTTACCGTGATACCGTTTTTAAGTAAATACCCAATTTCGGCAATTTCACGAAGCGGGTTTTCGCCGGGTCCGAACTCTTTAGGACTCGTAAATTTGAGCATTTGTGATACTTCTTTGGCCATTTTAAGTTCACTCTTACGAATGATCTTTTCACAGCGGTCAATGATTTGTTCAAGGTTTACTTCTGTAATGTCGGCCAATTCTGAGGCACCAGATTGAGTAGTTCTTGCTGCTTTTGTTGTTCTTGGTAAAATCTTTTCAATATCTTTGATTATTTCTTCTGTTAGAATTTCTTCAAGGTAAGTTGCTTCAGCTGGAGAAAGCAGTTCCGTTGCTTTCTCTTGAGTCACATCCTCTATGTGCTCGTCAATTTTCTTTGCTGTAGCTATAGCTGCCGTCTCTAGTGGTTGTTGTAAATCCAAAATAGGTTTAGCCCTTTCTGGTTTTTTAGCTTCTGGTATCTCTTTTGTAGATTCCATAGCTTGCACTTCAGTTACGTCCAATGGTTGGTCTTTTTCAGTCATCCTTGTGATAACTCGTTTTCTTTCTATTTTCTTCTTTTCTATTTTCACTCGTTCTTTTTTCACTCTTTCCTCCTCTTCTTTGGCTTTTCGGATTTTAATTTCTTGTTTCTTGTGTTCGGGAATTTCTTGTACGTACAATTTGGCTTTTGATACTGCTTCACCTATATCACTAACAGCTTTGCAAAGGTATGATCCAACATCTTCTTCAGTAACATCGGTTATAGTTACGCTAGTTTTATTATCTTCAATTCTGACTTTGACACGGTCTGTATTACGGACTATTTTGTCGTTGTGATACCATATCACATCTACAGAAAGAAAAATACAAACGTTGAGGAATTACAAGTTATTTGAAACTTTAATTTATTATTACCTGGAGTAGGTGTTCCAGACAGAAGGCACTCAAACTTAACTGTTTCAGCTTCTGTTGTCCGAATGTCCTTGATTTCTTGAATAAATGTTGGGGGACTTTGCGCAGCTAAAACATATAATTGCTAATGGTGATTTTATTACATACTTTTGCTATTTTTTCACACCAAAACAATAATCACAATGTGGCCAAACTAACCTTTAAGTGTTCTCGCAAAATGCAAATCCTAGTAAGTCGAATAAAAATAAATTTCATTTAGTAGGTAAGAAACATTTCACTAATATTTTATTTTTCAAGATGCAAAAGTTCGCATTAAATGGGATAAATTAATTTTTGACCTTCATTACCTAGTAGTTGTTGTTGTTTTATAATGATTAAGGGTTGTCCCTCAAGTGTAAGTTCAAGCACATGGAACTTTAAAGTTTATAAATTATAGCAATATTGTTATATATAATAAGACGTCCAATTTTTCATGAAATACTTTTTTGTGACATTGATCGTTATTTAATAGTTTTTACTAACTATTTTGTTCTTCCATAACAACACCAGTTATTATACATCTTGTAGAATTATAGAAAATAATTTGTTTATGGGTTTGTATTAAACCTGGTGTCACTAGAACCAGTGTTCCAGGCAGCAGCAGGAGCAATAAATGACTTATAGATATGAGAATATCAGTTATAAGAAAAGTAATACAGTCTTGTATTTCATATCAACAGGCTAAATGAATAGGTAAATAAAGAAACAGTAAGCTCTGATTAGAATCTACTGGGCTCAGAAAGTTCAAAATAAAGAGTCTGTCGCAGACAAAACTAACTGCTAAACAGCAGGAAAGAAATTAAGATCATAATAGGATTCCACAGCCTTAGAAGACATCTAAATATCTTAGGAAATATTTGAGAAACCCGAAGAAATCCTGATAACATCCATCGGACTGAATTTATTAAGAGTACTAAGCCAAAGGTTGACATATCAATAAACGTGGTCTTTTCGGCTACGATCTTCCCAACAGAAATTATTACTATAGAATTGGAAGCAAAAGAGTTGATTGATTTTTCCCCCTAACAATCGAGTTTATCCAAAGCTGGTTTGAAACTATAAATATCTTTGAGTGTATCGGTGCCCGGAACAAAGAACCGAATCTGAGTTCATAGGCCATAACCATTTTTGGGCATTGCAAAGAACACTGCCAAAGGCATTATCTCAAAATGGATATAGAGTGTAACAGCCACGAACTGGAGAAAAAGCGTTCATAACCAACCCTTCCATGAACGCCTCTGCTCAGATCTGGGAATGGAGTAGGAAATATCTACGAATTTTTACGGAACTGATGACAGGACATTGTCGTCTAGGTAACCACATGAGAAGGATAGGTCTGCAATAAGCATAGGAGCGTGAAAGACGAATCCGCAAGGAAAATTCTATGTACATGCTCCGCATTAGAAAGAACTAGGTTCCATATCTTTGGATTCACTCGACTGGAGCCTACCGACCATGGTCTTCATCAAAAGGTGTGATTTGTACGATCAACTATAAGTTAGAGATGAGCCACAATAGATCGTCTGTTTCGCAGTGGAAGATGATGAGATCATCCCATTCATTTTCAACCTAACCTATCCTAAGCTGGTGGGTCAGAAGCTGACAAAGATCTGATAAACTTTAGTACGAGTTGGTTTTGAACCACTCCTCAAATAGATGTATTTTGGGTAATACCCACTAGGTTCGAGTACCTTTCTACATATATCGATATATAGCAAAGCTGAAGAAGTGGATGCTTGTGAATCAAACCGTTTGGAAACTGCCATTTGTGTATTTGGCAAGTTTTGGACAGTTTAAAAATGATTATGAACGTGATAATATGTGCCAATGTTGGAACATATGCAAACGGTTTGTAAAGTTGTAAAATCTTCAGAAATAGACATAAAACTGTCAGCAAACCAGTTCCAAATCTGCAAGGACATACTTTTTTAAATGGGCTATCAGAAACTGTTGCAGAAACAAACATTTTTTTTATTATATTTGTCTTTTAAATATGGATAATTTTATAATGGCATTTTTATTTCTCTCATAAATGTTCTAGAAATTGACTGCGCATTTTATCTTTGGATTTTTCTTGAATGAATCTGATAAAGCATAAACTTTACAATCACGTGCACTTGGTTTTACACTCTTAACAATTCTAATAGCTAAACTGACTAGGTAAGAAGATATTTTACCAGCCGCAATGTTTAGTTCTAGCGTCTGGAATAATGGTAGTTTTCAAGATGCAAAATTTACTAATTGGGATATACTAAATATTTTTAGAACATTACCTGTTGTTTCAAATGTTCATTGTCTGGTCATGCTGGAGGTAGGATTTACTGGTCTAAACAAAATGCAAAAAAACACACATTACAACATTAGTAAAAAAAAAACACAAATTTGGGGTTAGTTTACCTTTGGAGCAGTTTGAGTCATAAGTTGAGTCGTCATTAGGTATAAAAGCAGAAGCCAAGCCACAGCCTTTGTCATTATCGCCCATGCATTCACTTTCCAGCAATAAAAATTCTTGAAGTTCTTCCTGACTGTCGGCTGTGTGTAGTTGAAAGAAAGCGCTTGGGTCTATTTCTCTAGGTTCCAAAGGAAACATTGGACTATTGTCACTGATTTCATAGTCGTCATCATCTTTAAGATAACTTTCATTTTTCACTCTAGGAAAAGTCAAATATTTTTCTGGCATTGTTTTCATATCTACCGGTTCAGACGGAATTACGTTACAGGAGCTTGAATGTTTTCCCAAAGCATCGTACGCGTATTTACGTTTCTCAGAACCGTTGCTTCCTTTTAAGCTACTACTTCTCGTCGATGGTTCACTCTTTTCTTCTATTGGCGATAAGATATTAAAGAGATCAGTTTGGGTTTCCTCTTCTTTATTAGAAGTCGCTTCATCGGATCGAAAATATTCTTCGAAGTGTTTATATCGATTTTCTTGTCTGTCAGTAAAAGATGGAGAGTTTATTAGTTCCATAACGGAACTTAAGGAGTGTCTGTGCGAATTTAAGTAATCAGACATTGCGACGCTAATGAAGTCAGAACTTTTCGTTCTGGTTAAAATCGGCTCACTCTGAACTAAATGATGTGATGTAGCTTGGGTTATACTCGCTTCAACTGAAGGTTTTGTTAAATAAAATGGCTCTTTAGCAGTTAGATTTTTGCTTATTTCATGCCTGCTTCTTACCTTATTTTGGTATTCTTGTTTATGTATAGTTTCTAAGCTGTCAGCCGATAAATCATACGACAAATCATGCGATAAGCTACGTCCAGATTTAGTATTACCTTTTAATGCTGCAGAAAGCTCTTCCATATGCGTTACCCACTCAGGTTTGCGATAATCCTTGGTACCTATAATACCTATCAAACATAAATTATCATTAATATTTTACTGAATATAAAAGTATTTTGTTATGCTGAAAGTGCGTGCTTGTTGAGATTTTGTTGTGTTAAATTTGTGGATATTAGGAAAGGATAGGAGCATTGAAGCAATTTAATATATGCTGAAATTAAAGAAATAATTAGTGCAATTCTATTTAAAAAATGTAAACATATACCTTCTGTCGTTTCAACAAGTAGTTCGGTGGTGGTAACTGCCACTCCAAGAGGATTAAAAGCTTCGTAGCTAATTGCACCAGTATCGTCTGGAAAAACGTCTGTTATTGTTAGAACGGAGGTTCCATCATCGAAATTTTCTATTACAAATTCGTTAGAAGGAATTATTTCTTCCCCATGTTTAAGCCATTTTCCTTCTGGTTTCGGTTTACCAACAGCTTGAACTTCAAATCTAAATAAAACAATATATTTTAAAGTAAATATTATCTATGTAGCATTTTAGTGACGATAACCACATAATACTCCAAAATTAACGTTGAACTTGGTGTAAAAGTTAGTCATTTATGAAACGACGCACTCTTAACCACCGGAAAAGGTCGTCTTAACGTTGAGCATGTCTTTAATTAAACTAGGACGTTGTTAAAACGTTTACTTAATTGACTGCAAATAGTAAATATTTTGGGAATGAGAATACCGTTCTAAAAACGTTTAAGGTTAAACATTTACTCGACGTAGGGTCGACCTTGTAAGATTTAACTATGGAGTAGGTAATTTTTCAGTTAAGTTATAAACTAACCTAATAGAATAGATACCTATCTATTAAAATAAGATAATAATAGTATATTACAAACCTCGGTGAGAAGAGTTTCATTCCTGTCGTGAGATTAGTCGAGGTTAGCTATGATCTCAAGACAGGAATGAAACTTCCCACCGAGGTTTGTATACTATTTTATTTACAACCATCATATTTCGATCAAAGTTAATAAATCTCTGTTTCGTTCTAAACATACCTAAAATATTACATTTAACGACAAATTACCAAGCTCGCGGTTTTCTCAGAATAATCAAGTAAATATATTGTTACCGTGATTACGGGGTAAACATTTGTCACCAATATAAATAAATGTCAGATAGAGTCGAATATTAAATTCGCGACTAATAAATATCAATAAGTAGTTTGTTGTATTTTAGTTCATTGTTGTTTTTTATTGTTTGCCATTAAATAGGTATTAGAAAATTTGTTAAAAAAATGCTTTATTTTTTTAAATATTAAAAATATTCATCTAGAATAGATGAAATGAGGTCGGGAAGTAGAGGTGTGTAATGTGGCACTTCCAAACCTTCAATGACGTTAGTGATGACACATTACATATATGGTTGTAAATAAAATAATAGAAAAACTCTCACAAATGCATTTTTCGGATATTGTAATATATTCGCAATTTATCTTGGAAAATCTTCCAAATAACATCAAATAAACTATAACACTATATTTACAATAGAAAAATAAGCGAGCACATACGCTTCGAAAAAAAGGTTAAAAAAATTGCGTACCAGCAAGGTGCCTAATCGGCTGTGCACTCTATTGATACGGCTAGACAGGTTTAGACTGGGTACAGCTGGTTGAGCACTTTACTAATGGGTGCCAATAGTTTCACTAAAAAAATTAGTTGCCTGTGCGACTAACGTTGAACATTAGAATATTTTTTAGCCCAAAGTCGCGTTGACGCCTATTATATAACTACGCCATGTTTAAAGTGTAATTCTTTGTAAGCATTGTCGAACATTATGCCATTAAAATTTGGGAAGTAAACAAACACAAACAAAAAAATAATATTTAAAAAACCCACCTATACATTTCTTCATAAATTGGCAGGCTTGGCGAGTACTACTTCGAATAAAAATAGCGTCCAAGTTTGAAGACTATGTCGCTACCCCCTTAAATATACAAGAATTTCCCACTGGCACCTATTGTTTGACAGGTCGTTGGAATGCCTAATGGGTTTTGACAGGTTATGATATGGCAACCCTGTAGGCCTGGTGATTTGACAGGGTCAACAAAATAGATAGTTATATAGATTGATCATCCATGTTTTTTAAAATAAACATAAGTTTATGCTTGGAAGTACAAATTTAGGTAATTATTTTTTTACTGAATTCAAATAAAATTGGTTTTAAAACACATTTTTGCTAAACTCATTCTGATTAATGAGCACTTGGGAGGCAATATGGCCGCTCGCAAAAGGACCCGCTTTTAGCAATCTATACAACTATATATGTATTATTGACCCTGTCAGTAACAGCAGGCAACAGGGTTGCCATATCTAAACGTTAGTTCCCACTTGTCAGCATTTTATAAGGTCGTTGGAATGCCTAATTAGGCATTCCAAACAAATGAATTACCAGTGGGCAGGTTTGGTATATCTAAGGGTGGTGACATATGGTGTATTCTATCTACTTTACGTAAAATCATGAATAATGGATTACATTTAAATATTTTATGTCAAACACAATAAAAATAATATTTAAAAAACCCACCTATACATTTCTTCATAAATTGGCAGGCTTGGCGAGTACTACCTCGAATAAAAATAGCGTCCAAGTTGCAAGACTATGTCGCTACCCCCTTATATATACAAGAATTTCCCACTGGAACCTATTGTTTGACAGGTCGTTGGAATGCCTAATTGTTTAACAAATTTTTAAAATTTTTCTTTAATCTTCTTTTATTCTTAAGTTTTGAGAAATTCGCAACGGATTAAGGGCGCGCGTGTTTTTTAGCCCAGTTTATAGCTAAAGAATCAGCTAGCTCACTCGGACTAATTGGATGTGTCAAAATATCATTCACTCTAGGGATACAAATTCAGGATGCGCAGAAGACTGCTGTTTGAATATAGGCGGTTGTCATATATATTGTATTAAACCTTCGAAGTGTCGGAAAAACGACAATATTCGTAACACAGAATTCCTATCTGTAATTTATTCTGTGTTTTGCAATCGCACAACTTTCACCGCATTCTTTTAGTTATTAAAGTATGTTCTATTGTATGATTTGATTCTGATTCTGCATGCTCCACTGCGTCAAGGATACAAATCTGAGTTGCGCAATGTATAAACTGGAACAGGCAGAGTGAGCGAACCACATGAGCGAACTGATTCTTTAGCTATAAACTGGGGCAATAGTATATTTGACAGTAAAATGAAATGCGTTGCTAATTTCTGTTTTAGAAATCGTGATTTTGCGGCAATATAAATAGGGTATCTTGAGCATAGGAATAAAACATTCTAATATAACATGCGGTAGTAGTTGCCAGAAAGTTTTCTGTATTTGGGCTATCGGTAATTAAAATTTACAATTTTTTAAAAACCATGCTAAGTAAACTATCTACGTTGCGCGAGAGGGCACAGCGGTGTAGTTGTTTCTAAGTAAATTCAGCAGCGGTTAGGAAACGACGAACTGCTACCTATAGTTAAAACTGCAACGTTTTAAAAACCCAAAAATGATTGACCACATTGATGCAAAACAGAGTTGTGACAACGTTGTGTTAAGGTCGGTCACGCAACTTATGTTTGGTTGTGCAACTTTTCTAAACACGTCTCCGCAACGTTAAATTGTTATGGGTAGTAAACTATTTTTTTTTTTGTTTCAGATTGATTACCTTGTTACTTCTCCATCTTTAGCTGTAATCACTTGAGGCAACTTCTTAATGATCTTAGGGGCTATTTCTTCTTCTGTTTCAGACGGGAAGAAGTCGGTTTCACTGATAGTCTAAAAAATAAACGTAAGTTTTTTAATTTTTTAATATTTTTGGAAAAAGAGTAAAATGAGATTTTAGTTAACATTATATCGTACCTTATCAGCCAGTAGATCCTCCTCAGAGCCAGTCATGTGACCTAATTCAGAATCAGGAACATACTCGTAAGCTTCAACGATTAACGAAGATTTACATATTGCTTCACCGACGCGATTAACAGCCATGCAAGTATATTCACCAGCGTTTTCAGGGAATACTTCACTTATAGCAAGTGTGCAAACCCCTTCTGTATCTTGATATATTGTAACGTCTTTAGCTTCGTGGACTGGTACGTCGTTGTGGTACCACTGTACTTTTGGTACGGGTTTTCCAGTTACAACACAGGTAAATTCTACTTTATCTCCATCCATCACTCTGACTGGAGATAGACGTTTGACAAATCTTGGATATTCCATTTCTCTGGTTTCTTCCCATTCTGTATCTTCCACTAAAGATAAAGTAGAGGTGCAAGTAACTGATCCGACAGCATTTTCTGCTCGGCAAGTGATGGAACCAGCAAATTCTGGAGTTATTTCCGTTATTAGTAGAACTGATTTGTTTCCTTTTGTAACAACGCGCCGTGCTTCAGATGGAACAATCGGTGTTGAATCAAGGAACCATTGGAATGTGGCTTCTGGAATAGCTTCAACTACTGCTTCTAATATAACAGTATCGCCAAGTGAAGCTTTTTGAGGTTTAATTACTTCGATGAATCGTGGTGGTTGTGCTTCGGAAGTTTGTTCGACTACTGTAACTGATCCTGATGATCGCGCTTCGCCTCTTGGATTCACTGCTCTTACTTCATATTTACCGCCTTTCTGTTTTTTGTTAACTTTCTTCTTAATTATGAGCTTGGTTGTGTTCTCTTTTGTTTCAATTCGATAGTCGTTATTCGGTTTGATTTCAGTGTTATTTCGCAGCCAAGTTATTTCTGGTGTGGGAGTGCCTTCAAAGGCAGCTTCTAGTACAATTTCTTCATCAGGTTTAACCAAAACTGCTTGAACGGGTTTAGTTATCTTTGGAGCATGCATTACAATAGGTTGACTAACCGAAACAGTTTTTGATATTACAAGATTGGCTCGACATTCGGCTTGTCCGAATTTATTTTCAGCTTTGACGCTGTATATCTTTTCATCGTCTGGTGTCGGTTTTATAATCTCCAAAGTGGCTAGGCCAGTTTCTGGATTAAAGGTAAGAACATGATCAGGAGTGGATTTAATAGGTTTTCCTTCCTTAAACCAGAGAATGTTTGGCATTGGTTGACCTGTTACAACACATTCCAATTTGGCTGTCTCTTTTTCTTCTACTATCTTAGGCTGTAATGGTTTTGTAAAGTGTGGTGCCACACCGCTTTCTTCTTTTTCTATAATAATGAATAAAAATTAGTTTAATATATTTCAAGTATTGGATTATCAATTAATGAGCAACACAAGAAAGTGCTAGGCAAATTATTATTAGCAGTAGCTTATTTAAACACAGCTTATTGTAATGCTAAAAAATATAGGCGCATCACACAGTAACAAAAAAAGTTACACAAAAACAACGCACAATAATGTATGTACCTAAAATAACAAGATTTGCTGTTGACGTAGCAACACCAGCTGGATTCGATGCTTTACACGAGTATATAGCTACATCCTGAGGTTCGACTTTGGTAAATTCTAAGGTGACCGTATTTTCTATAATGTTTACAAAAACTCTTTCAGAACTTTGGAATACTTTTTCATTTTTGTACCAGGTAATATCAGGGAAGGGTGTACCTTCTACCTTACATACCAAAGTTGCTGGTTTTCCTTCTTCTGAAACTACAGGCTCAACTCTTTGAATAAATCTAGGAGCAATGGTTTTTGACTTGGCTCTCTTTCCGATAGTTTTATGTAAAATAGATTTCTGTATCTCGGTTTTTTCTTCAAGTTCGGTTTCGTCCACGGCTTTTTCTTCTGGCACCTTATCTACAACTTCAGTGACACGTTTTTGAGAAATGATTTCCAATTCAGGTATAGGTTGACCATCATCGAATGTAACAGTCTTATATTTCTCTTTTTTAATTTTCTTTGATGTAATTTGAACTGTCATGTCTTTCTGGAATTTAATTTCTTCTGTATTATCTTTGAGCTCTTCTTCTTTCTTTTCGGGACTAATCACTGGCTTCTTCTTTTCAATTAGGGTTATTTCAGTTTCTGATTTTTCAATTTTATGTTCTTCGGGAACTTTTTCTTGAGTGCTTATTTTTTCTGGAATCATTTCTTCAGATTTTTCTTCTATGATTTCAACTTTTGGTGTTTCATAATCTTTTGTCTCTTCTTCGGCACGGTGTTTCGGTTTTTTGATCTTAGGTACACGAGACTTTGGCTTTTCGTCGTCTTCTTCTTCTTTTCTATCAATCGGTTTTATTGATAATTTATCATCATGTTCATATAAAGGAATTTCAGTTGCAAACTCGCGTTTTATGGTTTCAGTTTCTATTTTATATTCTGGAATTTCTGGTTTTTCTTTTGATATTGGTTTTAGCTTAATATCCTCCTTCTCTTCTTCAGGCAAAGGCTTTCTTTTGCCTTTTGGCATTTCCACGGTTTCTTCTTCTTTCTTTGGTTTTTCTTTAGGAGTTCTTCTCCAAGGAACTTTAGGTTCTTCGACAACTGGCTCAGCTTCACGAATTTCCTCTGAAATAGGTACAGCTTGTTGTTCTACAACTTCAATTTTTTCATCAATTATCTTTTGCGGGATATCGAACACTGCTTTTTCATAATCCTTTGGACGTTCGTCAGATTCAGGTAAACCTTTAAATGTTGATTTTTCAGGAATCTCTTCAGGTTTCGTGGGCTCTCTCTTTACAGGTTTCAGTTTTATTTCCTCTTTATTAGATTCCTCTTTAGGTATCTTTCCTTTACCAATCTTCAGTTGAATTTGTTCTTCTTCAGGAACTTCTTTTTTAGGTTTTTCTTTTCGACGCCAAGGAGTTTCTTTTGTTTCTTCAATTTCTTTGGGTTTCTTATCAAATTCAATCTTATCAGCTATTTCTGGTACGTATTTTTCAATTTCCTCTGGTTCTGGAATTTCTTCTTCTTTTGTTGGTTTCTTTTTCTTAATTTTCTTAAGAACCTTTTCCTCCGTTTCTATTTCATCTTTAGGAATAGGTTTTAGTGTAATTTGTTCCATTTCAGCTTCTTCTGGTTTTGGTTGAGTTTTAGATACAGGTTTGAGCTTAGGTAGTTCTTCCACTTTTGTTTCTATTTGCTCATATTTTTTCGCAGTTTTTGGTTTAAGCTTGGGCTTATCTTCAGCATCATCTAGTTTTAATACTACAGTATCTTCAACTTCAACAACCGTTTCAACAATTACTGATTCGGGTAATTCTATTTTTTCTATTTCTTTTTCTGAGGGTTTTTCTATGTCTATTTCGTCTAAATCTTGAGGTTTTCTCACTTTTGGTTTCTTCTGTTTCTTCTTTTTAATTCGTTTTATCTTTCCCGCTTCCACTTCTTCTACTTCTTCCTCCGAAGAAGATTTAACCTTGTCCTCGATCTTTACAGGTTTTACAGGTTTAAGCGAAACGGTCTCTACGGTCTGTTTTTCTACAAGTTTAGAAATTCTTGGTGTTTTCTTTAATTCAATTTTTTCAGGAGAAATTTCTTCTATTAACTCTTCAACAAGGACTGCCTTTGGCATTTCTGGTTGAGTTTGTTTTACACCTTCTGAGACGTCTTCTTTTTCTACAGGTTTTATTTCTTCTGCAGGTTTTATTTCTTCTTTAGGTTTCTCAATGGTTGATTTTTCTTCTTCTGGTTTCTTTGGTTGTCTTGGTTTACGCCAAGATTTCACTTCTGCAGTTGTTTCTTCTTTAGTTTCTACCACTTCTTGTGGTTTTGTTATTTGTTCAGGTTTATCAGGTGATTCTTTTTCTAATTCGTCCTCAACTACTACCTTTTTATCCTTTTTAACTTTCTTGCCGATTATTCTTTTAGCTTCCGGCGTGTCTTGGTCTTGTTCTTCAACTTCACTGATAAATGTTTTCTCTTCTGTATGAATTTTTTTAAATGGTTTTAATTCTACTTTTTCAATTTCATCTTTAAGTATTTCTTTTCTCTCAACTTTAGAGCGTTTAAGAACGACATTTTGTTTGTTCCATGGAATAACTTCTTCTTCGGCTTTTTGTACAGGCACCTCTTCTTCTTGTACTTGTTCAACTAGTTTAATTTCTTCTTTCGGTTGTTCAACAATTGGTTTTTCTTCTTCTTGTTGATCCAAGGTTGGTTTTTCTTCTTCTGGTTTCGTTGGTTGTCTTGGTTTACGCCATGATTTTACTGCAGTAGTTGTTTCTTCTTTGGTTTCTATCACTTCTTGTTGTTTTGTAGTTTCTTTAGGTGTAACAGGTGTTTCTTCTTCTAATTCGTCCTTAACTACTTCCTTTTTATCCTTTTTAACTTTCTTATGGATTATCTGTTTAGCTTCCGTGTCTTGTTCTTGATCTTCAACTTCACTGATAACAGTTTTGTCTTCCGAATGCACTTTCTTAAATGGTTTCAAATCTACTTTTTCAATTTCGTCTTTAACTATTTCTTTTCTCTCAACTTTAGAGCGTTTAAGAACGACATTTTGCTTGTTCCATGGAATTATTTCTTCTTCAGCTTTTTGTAAAAGCGAGTCTTCTTCTTTGACTTGTTGAACTGGTTTAATTTGGTCTTTTGGTTGTTCAACCGTTGGTTGTTCAACAGTTGATTGTTCAACAGTTAATTGTTCAACAGTTGGTTGTTCAACAGTTGATTTCTCTTTTTTAGGTTGCTCAACAGTTGGTTTTTCTTCTTCTGGTTTCTTTGGTTGTCTTGGTTTACGCCAAGACTTGACTTCTGTTGTAGTTTCTTCCTCAATTTTAACAATTTCTTGTGGTTTTAACGTTTCTTCAGGCTTAAGAAGCGTCTCTTCTTTTAAGTCATCTTTGACTACTACCTTTTTATCCTTAATTAGTTTCTTGCTTACTACTTTTTTAGTTTCTGTATCTTGTGCTTCATCTTCAATTTCACCGATAAGAGATTTTTCTTCTGTATGCACTTTCTTAAATGGTTTCAAATCAACTTTTTCAATTTCATCTTTAACTATTTCTTTTCTATCAACTTTAGAGCGTTTTAGAACGACATTTTGCTTGTTCCATGGAATCACTTCTTCTTCAGCTTTTTGTAGATGCGAATCTTCTTCTTGTGCTTGTTCAACTGGTTTAGTTACCTCTTTCGGTTGCTCAATAGTTGGTTTTTCTTCTGGTTTTGTTGGTTGTCTTGGTTTACGCCAAGACTTGACTTCTGTTGTAGTTTCTTCCTCAATTTTAACAATTTCTTGTGGTTTTGACGTTTCTTCAGGCTTAAGAAGCGTCTCTTCTTTTAAGTCATCTTTGACTACGACCTTTTTATCCTTGATTAGCTTCTTGCTTACAACTTTTTTAGCTTCTGTATCTTGTTCTTGATCTTCAACTTCACCGATAAGAGATTTTTCTTCTGTATGCACTTTCTTAAATGGTTTCAAATCTACTTTTTCAATTTCATCTTTAACTATTTCTTTTCTATCAACTTTAGAGCGTTTTAGAACGACATTTTGCTTGTTCCATGGAATCACTTCTTCTTCAGCTTTTTGTAGATGCGAATCTTCTTCTTGTGCTTGTTCAACTGGTTTAGTTACCTCTTTCGGTTGCTCAATAGTTGGTTTTTCTTCTGGTTTTGTTGGTTGTCTTGGTTTACGCCAAGACTTCACTTCTGTTGTAGTTTCTTCCTCAATTTCAACAATTTCTTGTGGTTTTGACGTTTCTTCAGGCTTAAGAAGCGTCTCTTCTTTTAAGTCATCTTTTACTACTACCTTTTTATCCTTAATTAATTTCTTGCTTATTACTTTTTTAGCTTCTGTATCTTGTTCTTGATCTTCAACTTCACCGATAAGAGATTTTTCTTCTGTATGCACTTTCTTAAATGGTTTTAAATCTACTTTTTCAATCTCGTCCTTAACTATTTCTTTTCTTTCAACTTTAGAGCGTTTAAGTACGACATTTTGTTTGTTCCATGGAATAACTTCTTCTTCAGCTTTTTGTAGACGCGAATCTTCTTCTTGTACTTGTTCAACTGGTTTAATTACCTCTTTTGGTTGCTCAATAGTTGGTTTTTCTTCTGGTTTTGTTGGTTGTCTTGGTTTACGCCAAGACTTTACTTCTGTTGTAGTTTCTTCCGCAATATCAATAATTTCTTGTGGTTTTGACGTTTCTTCAGGTTTAAAAAGCGTCTCTTCTTTTAAGTCATCTTTGACTACTACCTTCTTATCCTTAATTAATTTCTTGCTTATTACTTTTTTAGCTTCTGTATCTTGTTCTTGATCTTCAACTTCACCGATAAGAGATTTTTCTTCTGTATGCACTTTCTTAAATGGTTTTAAATCTACTTTTTCAATCTCGTCCTTAACTATTTCTTTTCTTTCAACTTTAGAGCGTTTAAGTACGACATTTTGTTTGTTCCATGGAATAACTTCTTCTTCAGCTTTTTGTAGACGCGAATCTTCTTCTTGTACTTGTTCAACTGGTTTAATTACCTCTTTTGGTTGCTCAATAGTTGGTTTTTCTTCTGGTTTTGTTGGTTGTCTTGGTTTACGCCAAGACTTTACTTCTGTTGTAGTTTCTTCCGCAATATCAATAATTTCTTGTGGTTTTGACGTTTCTTCAGGTTTAAAAAGCGTCTCTTCTTTTAAGTCATCTTTGACTACTACCTTTTTATCCTTAATTAGTTTCTTGCTTACTACTTTTTTAGCTTCTGTATCTTGTTCTTGATCTTCAACTTCACCGATAAGAGATTTTTCTTCTGTATGCACTTTCTTAAATGGTTTCAAATCTACTTTTTCAATCTCGTCTTTAACTATTTCTTTTCTCTCAACTTTAGAGCGTTTAAGTACGACATTTTGTTTGTTCCATGGAATCACTTCTTCTTCTGCCTTTTGTAAATGCGAATCTTCTTCTTGTACTCGCTCAACTGGTTTAATTTTCTCTTTAGGTTGTTCAACGGCTGGTTCTTCTTCTGGTTTCTCTTCTTCTGGTTTCTTTGGCTGTCTTGGTTTACGCCATGATTTTACTTCTGTTATTTCCTCTTTATTCTCTACAATATCTTGTGGTTTTGATATTTCTTCAGGTTTAATAAGCGTTTCTTCTTTTAAGTCATCTTTGACTATGACCTTTTTATCCTTAATTAGTTTCTTGCTAATTACTTTTTTAGCTTCTGTGTCTTGTTCTTGCTCTTCATCTACGCTAATGAGAGATGTTTCTTCTGTATGCACTTTCTTAAATGGTTTCAAATCTACTTTTTCAATCTCGTCTTTAACTATTTCTTTCCTCTCAACTTTAGATCGCTTAAGAACAACATTTTGCTTGTTCCATGGAATTACTTCTTCCTCTGTTTTTTGTATACGCGACTCTTCTTCTTGTACTTTTTGTTTAGGTTTAAGTTGCTCTGGTTGCTCACTAATCAGTTGAGTTGTTTCTTCCTGTTGTATTTGATCTTTTCCGCTTCTTAATGGTTTAATTTCAGGTTGTTTTTCAGAAATTATTTCTGTTCCTACAGCAGTATGTTTTAAAACTTCTGTTTCATCAGCTTTCTGTATTGGTAATGACTCACGTCGAGTAGGTTTAAGTTGCACATCTTCAATCTTTTCTTTTTCGATGTGTTTAATCTCTGTACGAGTCTTCTTTAGGACAACTTTTTCTTGGGTCCACGGTACATCTTTTGGCTTATCTTGTCCTTGTTCAGGAATGTCTTCATATTTACTCTCTTCTGGTCTAACTAAGTCTTCCTTTGTTTTATATTGTTCGTGTGATTTTGGTTTTTGCAAAGTTGTTTGTGAAACATCTTTTTCGCTTTCGGTAATTTTCTTCTCGATTTTTAGTAATTGTTTATCTTCAATTACTTGCTTGGTCGTAATTTGTTCGGGAGCCACAATTTCTTCTTCTTTTTGTGGTTTTCGCGTTGATTTAAGGTCCACTGTCTCCAAAGTTTCTTTAACTTGTTCCTTCTTGGTAACCTGCGTTCTTTTTAAATTAATTTTTTCTTGATTCCATGGGACTGTTTCTGCTGTTTTTGGTTGTACAATATCTTCTTCCACTGTTTGAGAAGGACTTACTTTAGGCTTTCTCCAAGTACGCATTTCAGTTTGTTTAGTAGTTGTAATGTTTTCGTTTTCATCAATTTTAAGAGTTGTTGTATCTTCAGTTGCTGCTTTTCTCTCCAATATTTCTGGTTCCACTTTCGAAGAAATTTGTGGTTTTGGTTTCTGCCATTCTCTTATTTCTACCGTTTGTTCCTTTTCTTCTAATTTTAATATAGTCTTATCGTCAGAAGAAGAAACAACATCTTGCGTGATTTTTTGTTCTGTAGCTGTTTCTCGTTTAAATGGTTTTAGAGCTACTTCTTCCACTGTTTCTTTTTTAATTTCCTTTTGTTGCCTGGGAGCTTTTTTCAACTGTATCTCTTGTTTGTTCCACGGAACGGGTTCAACCTGTTGAATGAGAGGTTTCTCAGGTTTAGGTCCTTCTTGTACTGCGTCTGATGGCTTTCTGCGCCAGTCTTTTGGCATTGCAGTTTGTTGAGATTGTTCACTAACATGTTCGTCCAATTTAAGTAATGTTGCATCTTCTTCATGTACTTTCCGTTCCAGAGTTTCTGTTGGTCGTTGTTTACGCCAGTCTTTTTGTGCTAATGTTTTTTCTGCTTGTTTACTTATTTCCTTCTCGTGTTCAGTTAATGAAAGCATAGCACTATCTTCAGTGTGAACTACATTTTGAACTTCTTGCTCAGGTTGCCGTGGTTTACGCCAATCTTTTTTATGTAATTCCTCGACTTTAGTGATTTGTTGTTTTTCGGATTCACTTAAAGAAAGAAGAGTAGTGTCATCTGTATGAATCTGTTTTTGAAGATGGTCTGGTTTTACCTTCTCTCGCGTTGTAGGTTTTAACTTAATTTGTTCGTTGGTCCATGGTTGAGCCTGTTGTATTGTTGTTTCTTCTAGAGTTTTTTGTAACGATGTTGAATCTTTACGAACAGTTTTGCGTACATCTTTTTGTCTCCAAGGTACAGTTTCGTCACCTACGGGTAATTCGATACCGTCTTTGAGTTGCGAACCTCCTTTAGATCCGAATGTAGCTTTTTGAGTTGTTTTGCCAGGTCCACCAGGACCAAGTTGATCTTTGATGTATATTTGCTGGTCATCATGATCAGTTACTTCTGTTTTTGAAGATTTACGGTATGTTCCTACGCGTCCTGTAATATTTTAAAAATTTTGTCACGATACAATAATAATAAAAAATATCATTTTAAAAGGTGAGTGATGATTTGTGGGAACTACATAATTTTGATAAAACTCACCAATTACATTGGTCAAGTTTAAATATGTAAACTTGTTTTATAGTTGAATTTGTTTTTTTTATGAGTCTACCTGATAATCTTTTTTTTAATATTTTTATTTTTGTAATTTCAGAAAACGTGTAATCCAACAAGGCATCAATGAGTAAGTAAAATTTTCTTTTTGGTATATCTATTTGCTTTTCTCTCTATTATTTTAAAAATATAATTGGTATAGGTCTTAAAATATTTTGACACACGGATTCATATTTATTTTCACGTTTTAAATAGAGTTATCAAAATGTTTTTAAATAAAATATGCGACAAATACTAATTTGTTATTAGATATACATTTATTTTAGACACGCTGTCTGACATGCTGATAATGTACAGTTGCCAAAAAAATAAGCTAGCACTGGATTATTTTAAGAGGATTTTTTTTGAATTTATCACATTTGTACAAGAGAATTATTATATTTCAAAAAAAAAACAAACATATGAACGGAACAATCTCTAGTCTTTTAAATTTTTATTGCACCCTAGTTTTTTAAATAAAAGTTAAAAATTAATATCTAATTCTATCAATTTTTTTTTGATAAACTGGATTTTTTAGCTGATTTTTTATAACTTTTTTATTTACAATTTTACGCCAAAATCAACTGTGAACTGGGAAAAGAAAAATGATCGTATAAGAGAAAATCTTATTTTGGCAAAAGGTAAAATTTAGTATACTTATTATATTATTAAATATTTTTATATTACCTATTTGTTTATGTGTGTACCTACTTTTAAGATTAAATAATATAATTATAATTAAAAAATTTGGACTGCCAACTTATATTTTTTAAATTAGGCATTCCAAACTGAATGGCTACCAGTGGGTTTTGACAGGTTATGACAAGGTCAATGAAATAGATAGTTACATAGATTGATCATCCATATTTTTCAAAATAAACATAAGCTTATGCCTTGAAGTAAAAATGTAAGCAATTAATATTTTTTAAATATCTAAAGGCTGAAAATTGGTTTTAAAATACATTTTTGCTAAACCGATTCAAATTAATAAATATTTGCCAGGCAATATGGCCGCTCACAAACGACCAGCTTTGAGCAATCTATATAACTATATATGTATCATTGACCCTGTCAATGACAACATGACAACAGGGTTGCCATATCTAAACTGTCAGTCCCCACTGGTAGCCATTTGGACAGGTCGTTGGAATGCCTAATATGTTATATAAACGTCAAATCAACTCATATATTTGTTTTCCAATTTAATAACAATATGATAGACGGAATTATTTTATAGCTGCTAAAATGTTGAAAGAAAATATCCCAGAACAAAAATAAATACAAATATTAGACTAAAGTAATAACGACGAATCAGATGTTCAAATACGACTTCGTCAAATTCCGACTAATGAAATCAGTAAACTCTATTTTTAGACGGGCAAGGGAAACACTGAAAATTCTTCGAAACGTCTCATCCGCATTGTTATTTTAGCACCTAATTATTTCGAAATCGGGTACTCAAAAAAAAACAACGGTGACAAATTAGTGTCATTCGCAAGCATTTCACAGTTTCTATGACGCAAAAACTATTTTGCAGTAAGAAATTCGAAATTATTTTAAACCTCATTCAACATTATAGTTGAAATTTTCATAACATTTTAATCAAAAATAGTAGTTTGTGCCACATAGTGGATATGATGGCAATATTACACGAAGCGAAGTATATTGACAAGGAAGTTTCTCAGGGAAAATTTCTATAAATTTTTATTTACTGCTGGATCTAATGATCGTCAGGGAATAACATTAAAAATAAAAATCTTTAAGGATAGATATTTGTCTAGTCACTGCGAAATAAGTGGAAATGAGGATGAGGAAGTAGATTAATTGGCCAAAACAGGCCGACTAGAAATATTAAGGATTGCTTCCAAAGTCCATCATAGTAAACTGTTGCCTTTTTTAAATTTTAATACATAGAAAAATGTGAGGAGAAATACAGAATGCCAAATTAAAAAAGGTCAAATGGGGATGTTATTCAACTACCATTGGAAAAATTAAAAATTTAAACAGATGTGATATTAGTACCATTTTCATAATTAGAACAAAATGTGGGCATTTCTTGAATATGGATTACAGATATAGAAAATTTAGATATTCTAAAATTTTATAGTACCTGTTACTCTTTTTTAAGCTTTTATATTTCTTTTAAAAGTAGTTAAAATACTTTTAAAAGTATTTAAAGTACATAAAGAAACTATCCAAAGTAGTTAACATTCGGTAATTAACTACATTTTTAAGTACTATTTTGAAATGAAAAAAATATAATCGACTACTTTCTAACCAAAAGCAGTTTGAGTACAACTACTTTTTCTGAAAAAGTATTGTTAACTACGTAATTAACTACTTTTGTACAAAAACATTTCGCACCACCTTAAACTTTGTGGTTATTTATGAATTCTGAAATAATTCATTTAAATATAAAAGAATTATTATACCATAAAGTATTCTAGAAGTCGTTTACTAAGTATGCAAAATAAAATAAATATAATTTCAAATCTGGGCAAGATTTATTTCTATTGTTTTGAAATATTAATCGCATATTATCCTTTTGGCTGTGAGCCCAACACATAAAACAGTCTCATAAAAAAGTAGAACCATACTTTATTATTATAAGTATTTATATGATATAAAACAAGTCTATGACGAAAGGTTCATTTAAATAAAAAATATACGGCAAGTATGCTGGCACATCCAAAGTATTAAACCACACACCAAGAGATGTTGAGGGGTGGTATGCATGGGCTCCGCCACACGAGGGCAAAGGGTCCGTGTGTCTCCCTGCATATGTCGCCATGGGCATGTAATTTTTATGGTTTCGAATCCCACAGTTGCGCGTTGGCCAGGATTTTTTTATTTAATTTAATTATTTAAAATTAATCCTGATGCCTTGGTAGGATTCCCCACTCGAGCATTCACTCTTGAGATCTAATTAACAGTGCTGTTTCTAAAGTGGCGTTGGGAAACAGTAGCAAAGCCTACACAGAACACGAGGCTAATAACCTTAGTAGTTGATGCCGATGACACACAAAGAAAACAAAAAATATCTTTTATTATTACATTAAAGGAATCATGCTTAGGTAAAATGTTATTCGTTTCCGAAATACAGGATGTTAAAGTTGAATATTCAAAAATAATTATTGGTTTTAATTTTTTTAATACTTAGTATAATTTAACTAAATTCGACAAATGTTTTAAGTGTCAATAGATACAACTATCAGCAAAAAAAATATGTTAAAGTGTTAAGCAAACTAGGAGTTACGTACACACCAACAGTATGAATACTTCAGTGTGTAAAACATAATTTTATTAAAAATTAGGCTGAACACTTTCATTTTACAAAGCCATCATCAAAGCCATCCTAAAAGGCGTTACATATTAACAATTGAAATATTAATTGATGTTAAAAATTTACGTCTAAGGTACCCTTCACGTGAAATCAATGACAAGATACATTAAGTCGTGAATTAAAACAAGAAATAAAATAAATTGAGATTGGTAAAGGCACCGAACCCATATAAAACCGTTGCTTAGGTATAACATTAATAATGCTACATAATATTATAAATTTTTTAAAACATCGACTGTAACGACGCAACAGGTGGCACTCGTACCGATTTTGACATTTGACAGTAAACATAAACAGACTGACACAGGACAATGACAAGTAGATTTGAGCGCTCGAGAGTAGTTCTGGGATCAATCTGGTTAGACCATTCTGATCATAAAGAAACAAAAATATATTAATAATGAAAGATGATGAGGAGGGGTGTACTAGGTTTCTAAGGATGTGAAAAAAAAAAGAATTGGGCAGTAGAAGAACCGATAATTGGAACAATCTCTTGGACAGGCTAAGATACTTCTGGGTGAATATAATCAGAAAAGATCGGAAGCCTCCATCTGCCTGAGCAATAATAGGCTACGGATTGTAACAGGGATCCTTACTGGGCATTGCCCACTAAAAAAACACCTTAGTAAACTGAGAATAGTAGAAGATAGTGAATGCATTTACATTCTAACTGAATGTGTAGCACTCCAGAATCCAAGAGCACTATACCTAGGAGCATATCAAATAGAAGAGGGAGATTTACCAAACTTGAAGCCACTCCAAATTCTATAATTCCTTGAGGAGATAGGATTGAAAGAGTCGTTATAGGTATCGAGTCATTTTCTTTCTGCATTAGCCACAGAAGGAGGCACAATAGATCTTTTAGGTCGCAATGTATTAACACCATATTCCCAACATAACATAAGGATATGAACCATATAGAGGTCCCAAGAAACGGAAGTATATTTGGTTTTAGGAAACTATTGTGGATCTGAATTTGAAGAGTAGAATGAAGGGCAATGTCTCTAGATCCTTACTAGGCTAGAGAACTGGAAGGTAATTAGTAGTCGAAGAAAGAAGGGCCTATTAGGAAGAAAGGAGGAAAAAAAAGAATTTTTAGAAAAATGGAAAAGTTATTGTAAAGACAAATTACTACCTAGATCCATACTAAGCAGCAACAAAGTAAAGTAAAGACACTTATTTCGCCTTTTACTACACATCTTGTGTGCTGAATTGCCTATTCTACGACGGGGCAACCGCACTGAATATCATGATAAGTATGGTCCAGGGGGGTGGGCCTCAGAATCATTAAGGAAGTTACAGTGTCAAGTGGAAATGTAGAAAAAATAAAGGATTAAATAATAAATTAAAAATTTTGAAAATTAAATTCCAGAATGGAGTTAAAAAAAGATTAAAGATCAATTTAAATTTAAGTATAAAAATTAAGTTTAAAACAAATAAAATTTAACAATGTTAAGTGACATTATAATTTAGAATACTTAAATAAAAAGATTTTTACTAGACTAAAATAAACACGCTGTATAGTCAAACCAATACTCAAAGGAAGACATTATTTACGACATTCACTGACATAATAAATGAATTATTGAATTATGGATATAAAAACCACTGATAATTTTAACAATATAACTTCCCGCATTCCCGCCACTGACGTCTTTTTACAAAAAAAAACTATATTAAATTCCAAAATGAAGGCAACTATTTGTTGATTCGCAATATAATTTCAAATAAATTATCGTGTAATCGAAAATAGAACATTTAATGTAGGTACACTTACAACGATATTACACCGTTTTGATTAAGAATTCAATTCGTAAATATCTATAAATAAATTCGTTCTAGGTACAATCTTTTAATTCGTAATTTTTTTGGCGAGAGTAGCTGATCATAAAAAGTGTATGCCAAATCTTTAATATTCGCTAAAATGACTAAAATGTTGGATCAGTATCATTAACGATCGCAGACAATTAGTAGAGGAAATAAGAAAAACAGTTA